TTTTGGTAATATTAATTATTATTGTTCATATATATATATATTCATATGTGTGCTGATTTATTTAAAAATGATGTTTATATATATTCATATATGTGTATATACGTGTATGTATAACTGGATAGGCTGAAAATGGGCTAAGTGCAAGGCATAACAATGGGTTGTTCTCGCTGCAGCGAGAGGGCTCTGGGAGGAAGGACTGAAACTATCACCTTCTCGCTGTAGCGAAAGAGCGACAGTTTGGGGTGCAGTCTCGCTGTAGTGAGATTCTACAGAAAACATAGTGCAGTTTTCTTTAGTTTTTTCGCTGTAGCGAGAAGGCATGTCGTTGCAGCGAGAATATCTCACTGTAGCGAGAGTGTCGCAACCAGAAAAGGATTTAATGGGGATTAGGGTTCGGGGAGAGATATTTCTCCCTCTCCCTTCAAAATTCCTTTGATCCTCTCATTCCCAAAGCCCTATTCCACTGATTAATTGCCTCCAAAGCCGTTTGGGAGAGAGATTGGAGCTCGAATTTGTGTGGGGAACGCTTAGAGGTGAGTTTTAAATGATTAGGGTTTCAATTTTTCATCCCCTTTCTTTGTTTTCGAGGTTTCCTTGGGTTCTCATGGAGTTTCTCCATTTGTTTAGGACGAAATCCGTGAAGGGGAGAGCTTCTTGGTGGATTTAGCGTGTGGGTCTTCAATCCAAAGTAAGGGAGACTCTACCCTACTCCTTTTGTGTGATTTGCTGATATTTTGTGTGATATTGTGATGTGGTTGAGTAGAGGGTAGGAAATTGCTGAGATATGTGATGTGGGCACTTGTGCCGTTTATACATGTGTGTATATCTGAATGAACATTGTAAAAATGTGGGCCCGAGGGTCGTGTAATATGAATGGAAATAGGGTAGGGGCCGTGTGTCTTGAATGAATTGTGGACTATGTGCTGTGTGTGCTGTGAAAATGAAATGTGGGCCTAGTGCCGTAAAGTTGAACAAATATAGGCCTAGTGCCGTGTACTGTTAAATGTGGGCTATGTGCCGTATACTGAAATGTGTGTGGCTGCGGCGTGTAATGGCGTTGTAATGTACTGTGAATGGTTCAACAATACACTGGGGGTGTAGGAGATAAGGACAGTAGAAATACCTTGGGGAAGAAGGAGTGGTGGTGACACCGACTGTGGAACGGGTGCACCACAGGTCATACACTCTCTTCCTGACTAGATCTCTGACCATTACCTTTGCTGAGCGACCCGTGACTTCCCACGTGGTATCCATTAGGTGGGGATAACCGGCGACCATTCATAGTGTAAATCTGTGATCACAATGCTACAGTGAGTGTGGCTGGTGTGCGTATACATGGATTTGTGTTTTGTAATTATGAAAGTGAAATGCTGCCTGTGATTGTGATTGTGTAATGTGTTGAAAATGTGCTAGAGGTAAGACTCTATGTTTGATTGTGTTTTGGTAGCGTAGAGTACTCACCCTTACATTCATTTTTCAGGTAATCAAGACGATCAGCACCGGACTCAGTAAAAAGGGTGGATGGAACTGCTACAGGACTAAGAGTTTAATTTGAAACTAATGTATTTGAATGGGTCCTGTAGTAGTAACTTGATAGAAATTATAACCCCTTTCCTTATTTTAAAAATATTTGATGAAACCAAGGGTTGAGAACCTTATTTGAAATGAAATTTATTTTATTCCGAATTTGCGAAATTATGATTTATTGAAATTAAACATAACGTGTTACACATACCATATTTTTGACTTCTTAATAACTTTTTTCTTGCAGAATCTGTTTTCTATTGCTTCGTGTTATCCGTTTGCTTGATTCGTTAAAATTGAAATTTTCATCCATTAATCTATTATCTATAAGTATTTGAATATAACAAACCTGCAAATTGTTCTTCAGAAAAGAACTGAAGCACAGAATCTCGAATGAAAATATGCATGAAGAGTATTTACCTTTATACTTCTTATTAATCAAATACTGTATTATAGGAATTTGGTATCATTATTAGGTACTTAGCTTATTAATCTATTTTACTGGTTATACGAAAAAGGTTCAAGTTTAAGTTTTCAAGTTAATATGTCACACTTATGTAATAGGAACAGTATTGTATTCTGACATGCTTTGCATGTGTGACTCTTATACTTCCGTGCATGCAAGTCTACTTTGTACATGTTAATTTTGTGATTTGGTTGAGTTGCTGAAAATTCAATTCTTCAGTGAAACATACTCATTAATGATTTTATATTAACTTCATGTGGTTATTTATAAGTCATCATTTCTTCAAATGTAAATTACTATCTTCTGTTTTACAAAATAAGGTAAAAATTTTCTTTTGAAATGAATATTCTGCAGCATGAGTCTATTATGCCAATAATGCACAAATATATCGTAAATGATTTTTTAGTTGTCCTTAAGCTGATAAATTATTTTAATGGTCATATGTGCAAGGAAAATATAATCTTGTTTGAAAGACTTAAGTCTTGCATTATGACATAAATTGCATGTGCGACTCTTAAACTTCAATACATGCAACACAATTATCATATTTGGGTAACTTTTTATTGCTTCATGACTATGAAAATTAAATTAATGTAGTGAAACATGTTCATTGTTTATCTTTCTTTGTCCTAATATAATTACTCGAGTGTAAGACTTTAAAGCTTTACAATTCCAATGAATAGAGTCATATTTTTATTGTCAAAATAATTACTACCTACTACTTTTGCAGTTGTGGCTATTTAAATTCTACAGCTAAGAATTGATATTGTTCACACTATCTTTCATTTAATTGTGCAATGAAAGATTGTCTATCCAAAGATTTTATTAAGTTGATATTTGCATGCCTAAGAAAGTAGCTAAATTTTAAAAATTTTGAAGAACAATAAATTTATTGATTTATCATATCGGATTTTATAACAATTCCTAGTTGCATATAATACAAACGTCTCAATTAAGCAAAATTGAAATATTTTAAGCTTTCTATACCTTATGTTTAGCTATCATTATACATTTAAATACTCTAGATTTTAATAATATTCCATAAATTTTTATAGTTGTAACATGATTGATATTTGCTATCAGATACATAATGTTTAAATCATTTCTTTAAAGCATGCTGAGAAATAAAATAATTGCACAAAATAACACTCATTTTGTTGCCTTCAATAGTTGTTACATTACAGAACTTGATTTTCTTAAATATAAAATAAATTACTCATTGTTAAAAGGTAACATCAACTACTGCTTGGCCTACTTTGTTAAAAGAAAATGTACAAATGTTTCCTTCTTGCAAGCCAACTTTCTTGCAAAATTCTTTCTAACCTACACCAATTCTAACAGACCTTGGTCTCAATTTGATCAATATTTTGCATGAAACTTCAATTCTGTTTAGACCCCGGAGTATCCATCTTTCCATGGGAAATTTCAGGAAATGACCAACCTTAGCAACAGGAATATACAATCATAGAAAATGGAGATTGTTAAATATAATTCAAACATCTAATTATTAAAACATATAAAAATATTAAAAATCAAGTTACCATCTGGAACTCACGTTCTACTTGTTGAATCCTTTATGCCAGATATAAAAGGATATTGTTGAATAAGTTACATATTATTGTATCATAGTTACTACAATTTCACTAAAAATAAATTTAACAAACATACCCGGTTCCCATGGTCTATGATCAACAAATGGTGTAAGGATTTTGGCTTACGAATAGGAATAACTTTTGCCATATTACAATATTAACAAAGGGGGATATAGAAAAAGTTTAACGGTTATTTAGTGAAAGGAGAATTTTATATAGTTGTTACTTAGCTTACGTTGCAATTAAAAGGCCTATTCAACTTATTATATATATAGAAATTTCTAGTTGTCATTTATTGCTAGATATAAAATCTAACTTAATTGCAACCTCCAAAATTCAATTTTGTGTACAATTGCGGCGCATGAAAGGATTCAAATGATGCATTGCTTCTGTGATGGCACAAATACCAAAAAATATTGCTTCCAGTAACTTTGTTCTCGTTATAACAATATCATTTATCAGATTTTAAAGTATAAATCTTTTTCAATTCATGCTTTTATTAATTACTTGGACATTTAAGTTTTCAATGCTTACTTAAAATCCTGCTATGATTATATGGAATGCTTGAAGCACATGTATCCAAATTTGCAGTGTTAGTGGAGTAAGTAATAATATAAGTACTTCCTATTCATCTCCCATCCTAATATGTAGATATCCTCTATATCTACATATCAGAATATAACTGTATGTAATATATGATTTGAGCTTCGCATAAACATACACCAAGTTTTCAGCAAGCATAATTTTTCCCCATGTTGTATTATAATTAGTTAGTTATTAAGATACAACCTATGTTATATCATTTGGGTTGATAAATAACCATCATATTAAATAGTATAAATTGTACCTGACATTTCAAATGTCATGAATATATAAAAGCATACAAAATTTAAATTGTTCTGAAGATAGAACTTAAAAAAAGTTATTAACTCAGTGAAACAAACAACCATCATATTATAAGATCTTATTAATCTAAAATCTCTCCTTCTTGATAGTCTTCCTAAGCCTGTTCTTCAGAGTGCAGCTAAAGTTGTCATTAGCAGCAAGATTAATAACCTCTTCAGTGGATTCTTTTGATGGAGTCACTCCATTCTCACTACAAACAACTTCCTTTTCTGTACTTATCTACATATCAAAAGTTGGATGGCATATTATATAACTTTATAATATATTGAATCAATACATAAAGACAAATATCATACTCTACCATAGTTTTATTGATTTCAGGACTTTCATTCTGATCTACCCTGCTATTATGAAAAGAATCAAGAGAATATGCATCCTCCTGCATAGTGTGTTTTATTAAAATAGTATTAAACTTTTAAAGCATATTTTCAATTAATAAAAATTGACAAAAATATAATAAAGACCTTTACTACAGTGTTATATTTTTCTAAAAGAGAACTACAACTTCCATCTTATGACAAATCAAAAGCCTCTTCACTTGATCTTTTACTTAGAATAAAATCCATGACACTATCTGATCCTTTATTCATCAAAGCTGTATCACCAGATACTATCTTCTCCCCATCAATTTCAGAAGGCTGATCCATCAGAAATTATAAAAGAAAACATTGCAATAAGTATAATATAATTATAATTTTTAATGTTAAAGCTATGAACAACTTATAAGACAATCTAAAAGATTAATTACCTTCTGTGCACCTTAAATTTACTTATTAGGATTGGATCCTCTGACATTCTTTTAACTCGATATGATGGTTCAAATTTTGGATTACTATAAGACTTTAAATCAATCTTGAAAAGGAATGATTTGCCAACCAAATCAAGTATTTCTTTAGGAGTTCCAGATAATTCGCCATTCTGTTACCCAAAGTTTGTAAAAAAAATGTTATTTATTAATCTAAATCATTTAGGAATGAAAATTTATATGTTTTTTCTCACCTTTTGAAGATTTTCAATCATTTCAGCATAAGACTTCTCCAAGTACAAAGAAGCTTCCCGATCAAATATAACAAAAGTTGTTAATTTATATGCTTTTTCTCACCTTTTAGAGATTTTCAATCATTTCAGCACAAGACTTCTTCAAGTACAAAGAAGCTTCCCGATCAAACATAACAAAAGTTGTTGATTCAGAATCATCGAACACTTTAACTATAATCTGATATCTATCATAGCAACCAATAAGATAATAATAAATAACTCAATTGGTTGATATATTAAAACAAAATAAAAACAAACATTGTATTTTTACCTTGGAAAAACAGAAATGACATGTTGGATGCAACTTTCTCAAAAATACATTCCTAAATCTGGATAAGCTACTTTATTACACTTGCAAGCATAATACCACCAACCAGATCCTCCTGCAAAATCTTTGATAGTAGCCAAAACCACACACAAAGAGTCCTGAAATGTTAATCATATAACATAATGTTATTTAATGTATAAACAATTATTACTTTCTCTTTTAATAGCATGGTGTATTTATATGCATTATAACAAATACAAACTTTAGCATATTTTAGTTCTTCAATCAATCTAGGCCCGGTGTGAATCAGAAAATCTTCTTCTATTGTCAATTCAGAAGAGTCACCAAGTTGGGTTAGTGGTTGAATTGCACAGTGAAGTCCCTCACTCTGACAGAAAAGAAATGTTTATAATGTTATTTAAATGTTAAATTATAAATTATTTTAATGAATCTATCTTACTATCGAAATAAAAACAAACCTATTTTAAACATAATATACCTTGCTTTGAATTCAGCAGATTCAGAAAATTCACAATTGAAGATTATTTTTATAGCTCCTTTCACATTCTGCAGTCCTAGTTTGCCTGCATAGTATGTGGTTATTTGTACACAAATCTGACAGAAAACTTCATAAGTGAATTCATACTAAAATAAAAAGTTGTATAACCTTTGAATGTATTGATTTTTGCATACTGAATTGCCATCACAATGGTGTTGTGATCACCTGAAGCAATGAAATCCTTCACTTCATCAACATATGATTCAAATAAATAGAGCACATTCAATCTTCACCCTACAATATTATATAGTGAAATGCAGAGTTTTTGTCAATTCAGAAAATGAATAAATTATAAATATTGATACAAAACTATTAATCAAATATGTTAACATACTCTTTCACTAAAATTTCTATAACAATCATTTTAGATTTAGAACCATTCTTCAAAATATCTCTCTTATATCCTACTCCTGTCAAAATACCAATTACATCTGTAACAAACAAATGTTAGCAAGTATATAAAAACAATATTCAATTAAAAATCACAAAATATTTTGATATATGAAGATTACCAACTAAGTAATCTGTGTTGCACTTGTTCTCAAGTATATCAGCTAGGAAGGTAAATGTTAAAGTTGATGGGAGAATCTCAGTATTATGAAGCAGTCTAACTTCAGTGTCATAATCAAAGTGGAGACGATATTTATGCTTGATTGTTCTATACAAACCAGTACTTTCAGCAATAACAAAATAGTACATCTGATAAATCTTATCTTCTTTTAGCAATTGCTCAAATCTATAGATAAGAGTTTTTTTAACAGATGCATGGATTTTGTCTCCCTGTATCATTTGGAAAAAGTTGTTAAAGAATATCTTTATATTCAAGATAAATAAAAACTACACAAATAAGCAATTATGTTAAAGCAATTCCTTACATGTTCATCTTGGAGAACCATTTCCATAGAGAATGGTAACTTGGACTTACTTGAAGAAGTTAACTTCCACAATCTTATAATCCTAACATTTAATCTAATTCTTGAATTTATTGGATTTATAGTATTGATCTTGTCAATTTGACGATCCATGCTCTGAACAGTTAACAGATAACTTTAGGTGTAAAAAAATAGTTTTGATATGAAAAGTTGTGTTTAGGTTACCATAACTAAATACGCCCTCTTATTATATACACATAAAGGGTAAAAGCTTGCACAACAAAGGGTCTTTTCGTATTCAGTCTAGATTGGCTTAGTCATTATAACCTTTGCATGCTGGTTATTCTTTCAAGGCATTTGCATCTGCATATTCAGTGAATTGATATGTTGAAGCATGCTTTATTTAAAGCACATATGGTTAAGTAGTGGATTATACTATATTGCTCCGTTATTATAATAGCATTGAATTTTTAATAACTTGATCAATAAGTTGTACTTTAACAATCTTAAATATTTGATATAATAATTTTGAATAATGGAATAGCATAATTCTACTTTTTTTTATGTATTTTATTTGTTACATAACAATTGATATATCACTTAAATAAATTATGAGTAATTCCAAAATGGTGTCCAGAATGTTAAGCAGTGAATTATAATGCACTGCTCAATGATTATACTACAATGCTAAAGAATGGTCATATTAATGATTAGAATAGCATTGAAATTTTGACAACTTGAAAGATAAGTTGTACTCTAACAGTTTTAATATTTGATTATATTTGAATATTAGAATAGATAGATTCAACTTTTCTTTTTTTTGTTGTATTATGTTTGTTTCATAACAGTTCATATATCAATTAAAGAAATCATGACTAATTCCAGAATGTTGTCCAATATATTATCATATATAAAATAAGTTGATTAAGGTATACAACTTTCAATAGTGTTTATATAAAGAGTTATAGGTTCAATTGAAAAATAAAAAAAATAAAAATATATACGAATGCTGAAAATAATTAAGAATAATACACAATTTATATTAAAAAGTGATAAGACATCCTGTAATAGTTTCCAAAAAGCTAATTTGTATTCAGATATTAGCAATGAACATTAAACTCACTGAGGTCTGTAACAATCTCCATAAAAAAAACTTTGTAGATTGCACTAAGATCTTGTGAAAGAAACATTAACAACTGCAGGACTTGCTTTATCAAACATAAAACTACATATATCTCCTTTCTTCAATCTATTTATCTTGCGAAACATACTTCACCCACTTCCAAATTTTGCACTACATTTTCTATGTAACAGAATTTTGCAATTGATTGTCATGTTATTTGGACTACACAATTGGCAAGCTTGAATTCCAGCACTTGAGATTTTTGCAGCCATTTCCTTTGGTAGGTTCTGCAAAACAAATATAATTAATTCAATATTATATTAACACAAATATGAAATTTGATTTATAAAGGGTCCAACATACCAATTAGGAACCAATAGCTTTGTAATGAGTCAATAAAACAGAAAAGCATTCACCTTCTATTGTTGGATGTTCTACATTTCCTTCATCATCATTCTCTAATATATTCGGGTTCTGATAGAGGATTTGCTTTGAGAGATGATTAAAAATGGTAATGTGGAAATTCAAATCACCCACATACTTAAAAACACACCAATAAGGATTATCTAAACAATAAAATTTTTGAAAATTCTTCCACCCATTTGATAAGCAGAATTTTTGACCAATTATTGTGTCCTTACTTCCATAACATTACCAACCGGATCTCTTAACTTCCATAAGTCATGTTCTTGCACACCAATTTTTTATATTACTCTATAATCAATTTCAGCAAACTCCTGCATATGACACAACTGATTATTAAAATATCAGCTCATTAAAAAGAAATATATTCTTATAAAAGAAAGATATTACCTTATCAGGCTTGTTAAATACACAAAATCTTGTAATTTCACCCTCCAATTTCACAGCATTTGAAGGATCCTGTGCTAAAGAAGAAGGCAAGAGAATATTGAAGGTAGTGTCCATATTAGCTTCCTTACACAAAACAAAATTGCAGACAATAGAGATAAGATACATATATTTTTGCAAAGCCAAGAATGATGTACAACTGAAAAAATTACATTCGACCAAGAATGAAGTTAGAGATAAAGGAAGATAATATCCAACCTAACTTTCTTTTTAAAATGTAGATTCTTCAGTTTTCAACCTTTTGATATCCCAATTGTGTTCACTGCATTGTTTCATTTATAAACAATATTGATAAATGCTAAAATCAAATGAATAAGAAAGAAGTGAAAAGTTTAATCATATTACGGATGGGCATAAATGAGACCATCGGAAAAAATAATGCAGTGAGTTGTTTCTCTACATGCTCTGTGCATTGAAGATATTAGTGGGATGTCAAAATTAAATGTAAGAGATTTGTTAACTTCCTCTCATAAATATATTCCACATCAACCTTTGATATTCTGGAATCAATTTCTTTAAAAATTAGATATCAGCAAATAAAACTTATACTACAGAAAAAAAAATCAGAATCATGCGTAATGTTACCTTGTGATATCATTTGAAAGGAAAACGTTGAAAGGAAAGTCCATAGTAAAATCCTTTGATAGAAACTAATATGTAAAAACAATGTGAAGAATGGTAAACTAAGCATGGAGACGTAATAAAATAAAAGATAATCAAACATGAAGAGAGAAGAAATAAAAGTTACTAGCTACCTCTACTTCTATTCACTTACAAAGGTTTGTAATGGTAGGCAGAAAGAACTTCAATATCACAAAGCACGTAAAACTGATTTCAAATATTGAATAGACTATTAGTAGTAAGTTTTATTTATTTTTTTATTAGAATGGGTTCCAATATAGCATGCCAATATAGAAAATGACTAATCATAAATAACTCTGTTACTATGTAATTATTAGTTTTTTATAATTTAAAATTTGAAATCAATAAAGTTTCTAATAATAGAAAGGGATAAAGAAGAGTGCTAGAGAAGCTTTTCATGAGGTGTTGACACCTCATCAAACTTTCCACAAAATAGTACTCAATTGTATATATATTATTAGTTTAGTTATCGTCTTATTTTAGTTCTCTAATTTTTAATTGTGTAATTTTAGTTTTCTTGCTTTTAAAAAAAAAAGCATTTATCATTAACTCATCGTTTAGACTGTAAGATCGCGACAAAGTAGATGTTAATTATGCTGAGATATCTCTTTTCGTTTAACTGATCTAATTGAAAATATTGTCTCATAATAATGTGCAGGTTAGTATTTTACTCCCTTTTTTGTTTTTCGTTATTTTTCCTATCCAAATAGTCTCTGTTTCTTTGTATTGGTCACGAGCTCTCCAATATCTCTAAAAAAATATATTCTTTAGTCATAGACAAATAAACTCATCAACATAATTAACCTAGATACATCAACATAATTAATAGTAAAATAAATATGGACAATTCATTATAAACACATCACTTTGTTAAATTTAAATAACAGGTTAATAAATGTAAAATTAAAAAAAATATAAAAATAAACTTGCACAATTAATAGATCTATCAAAACCACTTAACTCAAAATGGGTTGAGTTCAATAGTTAGTTGACCTAACTCAACTTGCTTTGGAGTGAATAAAAAATGTGAGCTCAACGCATCTAGTAATCCGGCTTATTGACTAATAGTTTAGGTCATTAAACTTCAAGATTTCAAACAACATATCAAAGAAATATAAGAAAAAAAATATAAAAATAAGAAAAGAAACATTGAAACAGAGATTAAGAAAATAAAATGTCAAAATAGAGTAATTTGATTTGCATGAATATCTTAATTTTTTAAGGTTATTGATTTAATGTGAAATAATAAAATAATATTTTAAATTAAAACTTACAGGTTGACCTAAACCACCAAACTCATAATTGGAGAGATTGGTAAAAAAAATTAGTATCTTATTTGTCAACATTTTTTAAACTCAAACTACGTTAAAAATGAATTTTTGGAGCATGAATTTTTTCAATAGTTAGTAGAAACTCCTATGTGATAATATATTTAAAAAATAATTTCAACTACTCTCTAATATCTACTTTTGATAGTATTCAGTTAGAATCACTCTTTAAAGATAACTTGAAGAGCGGTTACAAAATAACTGTTCTCAAAAGGTCGATATTTAAGAAAATAATTGGCATATAGAACAATTTTTTAAACTTTAAAAAGTAGTTAACACATAGAACTGCTCTTAACTAGAAGCTAAGATTGGGGAATAATTATTACTTAACAGTTCTCTAAAAGTATATTTAAAATTAAATTCTAAACCCAAAACATCATCATTGTCCTTGCGCTCACTCTTTGCTGTTGCTACTCCCAAATTTCTCTCAGTTCTCTATGTTCTCATACGTTTTTGCTCCATCATTTGCACTATATCAACATCGCCTTTACACCCTCAATGTATACTTCTCTTTGTTTGCCTTCATCAGTTTGAAAAATATTTAACTTTCCTTGTAATTGAGACTCACCATTTCTTGAAATGAATAGTTTTCTATCATCCTTGGCATTGAGGTAAACTAAGGAAGTACATTGCATTAATGTTAGTAATATTGAATATTTTGGTATTTTTAGTTAAATTTATTACATGTAGTTTTTCGTTACTGGCTGACAAAAATCATATATTAAGTTATTTAGGTTAGTGATCCTTAGGTATTGTTAGGTTGCTTATTTGGGAATTTTTTAACCTTATATTAGTAGATTGATTCTTTGATAATGTGATTATTCTAAAACTTGCATTTGACTGAAAATTAATGTTGTTCTGAGCCTTAGATTATTTATTTTGTGTTTTGTTTGTTATTTCAATATACGTGTCTACCCCCAATGTGAAATTGTTTAGTGTATTATAAATAAAATTGATATTAGGTAATTAAGTTACAACTCTTAAATATTTACTAACTAAATAACAATGCCAAAACATGTCAATGCATGTTGTTATGTCTTATGAAATATTATGAACTCATG